ACAGACACAGACAGACACACACACAGACACACACACAGACATACACAGACACACACACAGACAGACACACAGACATACACAGCGCGCTAACCACTACACTACAATGCGTTAAGCTTCCACATGCGCGGGTCACATGACAGATTTGACGTCACAGCTCAATTGCCGTGCAAAAAATATATACATTATTGAGCTCCCCCCCCCCCCCAAAGAAGTGTATTTTAATAATTTTTGCATGGTGTACAGTTTGTTGCATGTCGGGAAGTACGCTAAACATTTTTAACAGACACACATAATCACAACTTTGCCTTTTATATATATGGAGATATAATTCCGTCACACGCAGCTGCAATGGTGAAATATTCTGCGCTAATCTGAGTGAATTGCGAAAACGTACTTGAGCATTAATTCAGTTTTGTTTGTAATTCAGATGAAGCGTTAGAATGAAATGTCATGCAACATGGATCTCACGAAGTGTTCTACTGTGTTAAAAAAAATCTGATGTCAATTCTAAAAGCAGAGATGAGAATTGGAGCAATTTCAGAAATTAAGCCATAATGAAAAATGTAACATAATTTCCCCCACTCCCACTCAGCAACATTCAATGATGATGAGGTGTTGTCTGTTTACCTAGACTTTGATGCATAGATGAACACGTGTGTGTATGTACTCGTGGTGCTTTCTCATCTTGAATGGCCATCCTACTTTACAGCCTCTGCCCTCTCCAGAAAGGTTCTGTGCTTCAGACCTTTTCTACTACATGTGTTCACACACACATGCACACGTGTACATGGCCGTACGTGTTAAAAAAAGGTCAAATCATGATTGAAATATATAGGAGGTATAATGAAATACAAGAAAATATGTATTCATAACAAATAGCGACCTACTGTGGATATGTATTCAGAAATAAATGAGACGTGAAAGATGTGTTCAATACACATTGAAGACATTGGAGATATATTTAGGAGAAAGATAGAGATACAATCATATAAGCACGTGTGTTCAGCACTTACCAAAGCCATACTGAGGATTTAACCCTTCAGGGTGATATTATTTTCTGATAGACCTGTATAATTAACTATACAATATGTACACGTGTTTGGTTTTGTGTCATTCTTGCTTGGTCTGCTGCTCGAAAGGTTATCAGCAATGTCTGCTTCATCACGCACTACTAAAGTCTGCACGATTATATATTCCATCTTGGCTGGTTACGGGCGTGTTGCAATTTACGCCAAATGGCCTGCTAAAAGCAATGTCAAGAAGTGGGTCAATCAATTTAAGGAGGGTACAAAAGGTATCGTTTAAAAAAGAAGAAAATAACCTCAACACATTCGTCAATAACACTGCGGCCTTCAAATAAAAAAACTATATACACACACAGCAGGCGACGTTTCAGGCAATGTACCTTCTTCATGGGGCGTTGAGTTTTTCTTTATTGTGCGTGTGTGCGCCACTGCTAAAAGTAGCATCACTTAATTTTTTTTCAACAAAAATATCAGAGGTCATGTAAAAAAATGCCAATGAACAGAAGTGGAAAAAAATGAATTTAGATACCGTTAATGCATTGGTGATTTGTTTCCATTTTGTGCAGTGAATGGTGTATGTCCTAACTATGTAATCATCCTAGTTTGCTTTACTGAAAGGGGGAAGGTCTCAAAAATAGTTTTGAGGTCGTAAACATGTTATCACTGATCACAATCGTCAACGATGGAATGCTTTGTCTCTGATGTGGTGGAAGAGCTGCAAAATGTGACACCAAAACAGCCAATCAACATACATTTAATCCAGAGAGAAAACACAGCAATATTACAATCGTGTGGTAGTAGTTTCATTCGCACACTGCGAATCCAAAGTAAATGGGCTAACGTGCAACAATTAGTGAAACTAATAAAACCAATGCACCTGACGTACGCATACGAAGACAAAGATCCCCTTTATAGCCTGAACAGACTGTTGGGGCAAGTGCTGTTAGCGAGCATCTATGGTGTGGTCAGCTACCACGCCCGACCACCTTTGTCTCCCCAGTGGCGATATTTTTTTACATACCGCACCAGGTACTCATATTGAGGCTGAGTCGACCTAGGGGGAGGCCTAGGACCGGTTCAAATAATCGCCACTGGTGTTGACCGTGAACCGGAATCAAACTCGGGTGGTCAGATTCATAGCACAGTGCACTAATCGCTACACTACCACCACATACACAGTAGAAACCACGGTATGTGTAGCAGTTGCTTCGATAAGTTCAACCTTTAAACTGTGAGCAAAGTTTAAAATGATTGTGATTTTTTTTTGCTAAGGGGCCGTCCATAAATGACGTCACGCACCTGGGGGGGGGGGGGGGGTCAGACATTTGTGACGATGTGTGACAGGGGGGGGGGGGGGGGTTGAGATTTGTGACGTCACATCAAAATGCGCAACTTTATAAATAAATATAGACAACACGTTCTAACTTAATAAAATAGACTTTTTGATAAATGTTTTCTCTTACAATATCAGAGTGCAGCGGCACATTAAATAAGCACTACAATGACAATAGTTTTAAGCGATTTGAAGCATGTTTTATATTTTTTTGGGGGGGGCAGAGCTTTGTGACGTCATATTTGAGGGGGGTCTGACTTTTTGTGGCGCCGTGTGACGACGACGACGGGGGGGGGTCAAAAATCGTCCCAAAAATCGCGTGACATCATTTATGGACGACCCCTAAATCTAAAAAGTGCAGACTCCTGCGCCCCCTATAGAGAGAGAGTACGATTCCCAAATTGCCAAGGTCGGTCGAAGCTTCTGCGTGCTGAGTGCATTTTTTTTTGGGGTGGAGGGGGGATGTCTACTCTTCCACGCTGAGATAAGAGGTGGAAAGATTCAGAAATGTGTATTCGGGATGCTGGGATTGAACCGGTGCGTTCGGAATTGCAAGACCAGCATGCTCGCCACTTGTACCGCGGGCACCCAGTAAAGCATTGAACCCTGGGGTCAGCGGTTCCACACGACACAGCCAACGCTGCGTGTTGACCAGGGTGTCGCTCCTTCTTGCCTTATATAGATTTTTTTTTAAATAAACTCAAACATATTCGCAAATACGTGGCCTAAAAATTGTACGTGATTTGCACAAATGCACTGACCCCTGCTTCACAGTGCTCTGCAGAAGGGGGCATTTCCCGAAACGTCGCCCATTATACAGGGTGTTTTAAAAAGGTATATGTTTTCCTCTTAAGGGCCACATTGTTACTGACGAATTTGTTTGAGTAGTTTTATTTATTGTAGTGTTTGTGCATGTGCAGCAACGCAACAGCAGCAGCATCAACCACCGAATGCTTAGTTTCATCTTTTATTAGCAATAACGAAACACGTCTCTGTTATTAAAGCCATCAATCGTCTCTACCCCAGGGCTCGGTAACCTTTCAAAGAAGAAGATACATATTTGTAAACGTTTTTGTCTTTGAGCAGGACATCTCGAGAGCTGCATCACACACAGAAGCAGTGCTTGTACACAAACACAGCAGTGGGTAGACGGGACAGAACAATAACCACACATTCTGACAACTGAGACATTCCCGAATTCCCTGCCGTATTTAATCAATTAGCTCTATGTTAAATTAAAGAAATAAACGTCTGCACACAGGGGGGAAGAAGACATAAATAACGTAGCGATTAGGGGCCCTGCCCTCCGAACCAACACCAAGTGACGATTTCAGAATCAGATTTATACTGGAGGAATCCGATGAGCTATAAAGCTCTCCCCCTCCCTACAGATGCCTAGTAAGGGAGGGTAAGAACGTTACAATACAAAAATGATAGTAGTGCAAAGTACAAGAAAGGCAAACATATCACCCGAATAAAGAATAATACAACTAAACCATCACCATTCTTCGAGGCAAAGCCCACTTAAGGTATTAACTCATTTGTTTTCAGAAGCAACCTGGCCTAAGTTGTCTTGTGGTAGTTGTTGTTGTTTGACTTGCATCCCACTGGGATTTTTTGCAACACAGCGTTGGTGTACGGTGCTTTTTTCAGGAATATTTTTGCTGGTTTTTTTCCATGGATTTTCTGTTTGCACAGTCACCACATAGTCACTTTAAGATGTTTTTTCTTTGTTCGTGTTTTTGTTTTTTTTGTTTGTTGTGGTTGCACCCGATTCAAGAGCCGGATGGCTCCCAGGGCTATACCAAAATAAAATGCACTGTTATCATTCGCACATTTATGGCAGCAAAATAATCTAAACGATCTCAATGCGTGTTCCTAAATGTGTAGGGGAAACACCCAGAGGACACAGCCGGGAGTATAATGACCGAAACGGGGAGTCTCCGCAAATCTGTCCGTCGGCTGATTGATGATGCTGGTTGTAATTTAATGGCAAAGCGTCCAATTTTAAACGTCTAATTGGCACGCTTTGTTTGCGCGGACAGCCCCCCCCCCCCCCCTTACTAATTGGCCGTGTCGGGCGGTGGCGGGTTTGACGAGATCTAACCCAGAAGCATCACTAATTATTATTACAATCCAAAGTGTGGGGTGGGGGTGCTTTGTCTTTGAGTACCCCCACCTAAGATGGCTGCCAGATTTACATAGCACGGGGGTGGGGGCGGGGGGGATGCTGGGTACTCGGGCGGTCGTGGGGGAGGGGCGTGGGAGGGGTTCTCGGGGGGGAGGAGCGAGGGGTGGGGGCATGGGGGGGGGGTGCATGGGGTGGGGGCTCGGGGGGGCGCTTTGTCTTTGAGTACCCCCACCTAAGATGGCTGCCAGATTTACATAGCACGGGGGTGGGGGGCGTTGGGGGGGGGGTACTTGGGTGGTCGCGGGGGAGGGGCGGGGGAGGGGCGTGGGAGGGGTTCTTGGGAGGGAGCGGGGGGGAGCGGGGGGAGGGGCGTGGGAGGGGTTATCGGGGGGGTGGAGCGAGGGAGCGAGGGGTGGGGGCGCAGGGGCAGCTCGGGGGGGGGGGGGCTCTAGCGGATGTGACGTCAGTAGGGGGGACTCAAGGAACCCGGATGCTCGCACCTCTGCCGCCATTTTGTGAGTCGTGATCGCCGCCATAGCAGCCGACGTTAACGGCGTCTACGCGGTTCGCGATTTAAACACAAAACAAATTATAACAACACCCGCCCTCGGGCCAGAGATAAAACAATGAGCGACGTGGAGGAAGGCGGATACGACGGCGGGGTAAATATCCCTGCGGTTTTTGTTTTGTATTTACACAAAGAGAGACGTGACTGTGGGGTTATTGTTTTTGCAGGCCCAGTAGCGATGAGTGGATCCTGAGTTTGGCCTAGCGGAGCGGGCCAGCTAAGCCCGGGGGATCCGCGTCGCCTCATCGCAACATCACCTCATCGCAATACCTCATCGCAACACATCGCAACATCACCTCATCGCCACATCGCAACATCAAATCCATCGCAACATCACCTCATCGCCACCACCTCATCGCCACATCACCTCATCGTAACATCACCTCATCGCAACATCAAATCCATCGCAACATCACCTCATCGCCACATCACTTCAAACACTCGTCATATTAGGGCTGAACGATTTGGGGGAAATATCTCATTGCGTTTTGATTTGCGATTATTTTTAAGGTCAAGTTTCAGTTCAATATTCACTGTGTGATATGTAAAACGTGATATCAAAATATGAACTGCTCTATAGATTTGAATTCAAGGATGAGAATTTAAAAGATCTGAATTGCTTCCAACAATTATTTGTTTAAATGTTTTAATTGAAATAGAACATTCAAACATAGAACAATTGTTTAGTTAAATAAATAGTTGCAATAAATAAAACGATTCCAACAAGAAAGTGATGTAATAGGACTTTTCAAGTCGCAGCCTTTACGATTTGCTGATCGCATTGTTTCATTTTGAGATTTCGATTTGGTATCGATTAATCGTTCAGCCCTACGTCTTATTTAGTCTCATCATCACACGTGTCCGTCTCTTTACCCTTTCGTCCACATACCCCGTCTCATTGCATCTCCCCGTCTACACGGTTTCACTCCCTATTGTTTCCCTCGTGATTTTCGCTTTGCGTCCTCCCCGCTAGCTGTGTCCCCCTTCTCTCTGCGTCTGCCATCGCGCATGAAGCCGCTTGCTGCTGCCGCCTCATTTCCCCCGAAGCTCCCTTTTGCATTATCGTCCTCCTTGCTCACCGATTGTCCTCTAACCGCAACTCGTCTTGAACCTCGTCTCCCTCCGGACGCGTGCGGGCCACCGACGTACTGTAATGAGGCGTCAACTTCAGTGTGACAAGTGTTATGGTTGTATAAATGAAACCTCTAGTACACACGTGCACTTGTCGATTACATATTTTGCCTCAAGTTTAGATATTACGTGATTTCTGAATGGATTTTCTCCCGGCCTTTTTATTTGTTTTGCCCTGCAAGTCCGTGGACTGCATTTGGTCGAGAGCGTAAAAGCGGGTCACGGAAGTCGGTTTGCGCCGCTGTGCCGAATACTCAGAACACCGAATTCTGGAAGGTTTCATAAAACTATGGGGCTTTACAATGCACCATTTCACTTCCACTAAACCGGTATTTGTGGGGCGGGGTGGGGGTGGGGAAATATAAAAATGTATTTCCGCGGATAATCCCTCCGCCACTTCTGGTGACATCGCATTCACTTATCCAAATACCGGTAGCAACTAAATGATTCATGTTACCGGAACCTACAAAAAAATTTTTACGCAGATTTAAGGGGATTTTTAGTGGGGGGGCAGGGGACATTTTAGATGTTGGGATAGTTTAGTAAGGGTAGTTTACAAAAAATAATGTTTGTCATAATTAAAAATATAAACGTAAGTCCGAAACAAAAGGTATAATAAGCGTTATTGTCCGGATCAACCTACGTTTGCATCGGCCACGCGCAACCACCCGGGTTGGGGGGGGGGCCTTCGCGGACCACACTGGGGGTACCGGGACCATACCTTTTTTTTTAAACCACTGCACTAGAACAACGTGTTTTGTAGTGTGCCAACACATTGGTGTGCGAGCCACATCTCAGCGCGCGTAAGAAAATGCGCTTCCAATCTTCTTGATTGCATTGCGCTTACGACCGCGATTTTACGTTTTCACTTCGAGCTCTTTCCCATTCGACCCCGACGTCCCCCACATCAGTTAGCCTCTTGTCCCCCTGATTAATTCCCGCCCGGCACGTTCCCTTAAACTGCCGATCCCCTGCCCCCTTTCTCATTGCCGCTCCTCACCTAACGCAACTAACCAGCCAACTCGCCGGCCACTAAAGTTGCCACTCTTGAGTAAATCGGACACTACTTGCTCACATTCACCAGGCACCACACTCGCGTATGTCAAATGAGGTATCCGTCCATCGGACGGGGGGGGTGGTGTGCCTTGTGGAGCACTGTTTAAGGCACCAACGATAAACACATTGCAGTGGCGCGCTCAATCTACTCACAACCCCTTTAATGTACAACCACGCGCTGTCCAGTATGGTATACACAATTGCAATGGGGATTTTTATCCGCACCGTTCATTGCAATTTGCAAGTCTGATGGGGTTTTTTTTGGATTAAGTGAAATCGATCATGTCTCAATTCAACACCGTCGATCCCTGGAATGTTAGGGTTAGTGTGATTTTCGCCGGATCATGTGTGATGAAAATTGCTCAAGTAAATGTTACTCCAGACATTAAGCTACTTGTGCAAGATTACGGTACTGGGTTTTTACTTGCCATGTGTTATAATTAATCAGTCACAATCTGTCCACTACTGAATGAAGGCCTCTGCAGACCGGTTCACAGTTGAGTGATGCGTAAATCCAGAGCGCCTGTACACGATCTGAATCTATCTCAACGCTGGGCTTAACGCATTTCAATAACTAGCAATTTCCACTTAATTGTAATCCGTCATCAACGATACATGTAAGCAGAATATAAACGTAACTTAGAATGTTGTGTACTCTATTGAACTGCATTAAGATCAACTTAAATGCAATACATGCTCACCATCTTGTACCTCTGCTGATTACAACTGCCGATCTAATTAAGGTTTTACATTTACAATGCTACTGAATAAAATAACAGCATGTAGTGTTTTTTATTTTGCTCACTACTTGCGGTATGAAAATCAACAATTGTGCAGGTGTAAGATGTTTGGCACGGTCTTTAATATTCACCTTCTCTGTGTTAGCATTAGCACGGTTGGTTACGTACAGTGCGAAAGAAGTTCAGCATACATAAACCATTGAAGACATTACGATGCGATTGGAGAATCCATTCTCTCAATTGTAGTAAAACAAATTCCATTGTCTTAAACGCGACGTTTGCAAAACATTTGCATGCATGTTTCGTAAGATATTTAATGTACGTCTAAACCGAATAGGCGTATTGCATGAATAACAGGTAATTTTTTTATTGCAATCCAAAACAGCTTATTTGGGAATTGCACGCCACCGGCCTTTTAGTTTCAGTGTTTTGTTGTAGATTATTTTTTTATTTTATATACTAGCAAAATTATGTCAATGTGTAGTAATTGATAGTGATAACGATTTTATCAATTTTTTGTATTTAAATTTTCCACGTACATTTTTTTTATAAAGTCTTATAATGGGTGCATTATCATATTCCACGAAAAATCATTTGCCAGTTTTACACAATTCTTGCTCCTCGTACGTAATTTGCGATAGTTTTCTTTCCAGCAATAACGTGGACTGAGGGCTGAAAATAGCAAGTTTTTCTATTGCCCTCTCCCCTATGTAGAATGCTTGTCACGTCGATGTTTGAAGGCTGACGGCACCCGCGGCTGACCGTAATTTATACTGCCCACTGCGTGGTGGGTGGGAGGGAGGGCCTCCTGAGCCGCATGCGGCTCGGTGATGTTATTAAGGAACGCACCGTCTCGTAATTCATGTGCAATTGCGGCTCTTGAAATATTGAAGGGGGTGTTTTTTTTTACCGAATTCGAATAAAATGGCGGCTGTTACTTGGGTTTGCCGAGCCCTGCTCCATCGGAACATGCTGCTCGGATAACTCGTTTTATTTTAGGCTACACGTGAAGCCCTTGGAAAGGGAAAATACGCTTGGACCCTTAGGGGGGGATGGGCTAGGATGGGTTCCTCAAGTGAAAAGAAACGTGTACAAATTAGAGCAGTTTGACACGGTTAATGTTAAAAACTACACAGTGTCTTGATTTGAAGCTTTCGTGACTGCAGGAATCCCCATACTCTTTGTTTTTTTTCGGTAAAGTCACGTAGATAGAAAAAATAATACATCACGACGTTTCGATCGCCACACAAGCAATTATCGCCTCTCTCCCACCTGAAGACGATTGCTTGTGTGGCGATTGAAACGTCGTAATCTATTGTTTTTTCTACCTACATGACTACCGAAAGAACCAAACAGTATACACAAGAATAGTTTACTTATCAAAACATTGCAAATTGTAATCGACTTCAGTCGAGGTGTTTTTTTTCTTGTTCAGTAAAAACCGTTGCATTAACCTTGTGCAGTGAAACTTCGCAAAGCCAGACCTAATGGGGACAACATTCAGGTTGTAAGATACGCACGGCATTCTTCAAATGATTAATAAAGTGCAAACTTGCCAAGTTGTTTACATTCACACAATACATTACAATGATCTTATCAAATGAATTACAGAATATCACTACGAAAGCAGAGGTGGATGGATAGCTGGCAACCAAGTGTACAGGTGCTCCTAATTCCATACACCAGATACGTACAGCACGTGTATCTCGCTCTGGAATTGCTAGTGCATACGTCTGCTGTGACTCTTCATTAGCCTGTTTTGGTTGAATTTTTTTGGTTTATTTTTTTTTATTTATTTTAGGTGGCCTGGCTTACCTTGAATTGTGTTACTCATGCCCAGCTTGGAGGTGTTATTATATGCCATATATTTGTTAAGTTGAAGGCTTCGTGCTAATTCTGAAGCACCTGATAATTATGACAGAGTGGCCCTCAAAATTTCCCCGTACAATTTCACTTGGGAAAACCTGAAGTGGAAGAATGCAATGCCTCAGAAATTGTGGTAATGCCTAACTATAACATATGTTAAGCGTTTGATGTAGATTTGCTGTCAGCTACATTATATTGTATTGTTTTTTTGTACGAAGTCGGATTGTATTTAACGATTCTGAATATATTCTGCAAATGTTTAATTGTGAACTTTGTTAAACATGTCCTTGATGGTGTTAAATATGTTTTCCCCATAAGGTTATTGGAAGGAATAGAAACCAGAAAATGTGGACCAAGATTAAAGAAAAAGAATATCAGAAGTTAGAAAAGGGAAAAAAAGAACTCAGTTGAAGCGGAAATCAAAAGAAACGAAGAATTTGGCCAATAGAAGTTGTAAATGCATGGGGTTAAGCAGAAGAGAAAAGAAGGGTTCAAGGGTTCGAAAAAAGAAAATTGAATGTATAAGAAATTGTCAAGAATCATGGGGTAAGCCTCTCCACCAGTTTAGAGACACGAAACATGCCTGTAATTGTAAGGGAGAATTCTATTTTAAACTAATATTAAACAAATTTGATATATTCTGTTGGTGAAATTGATAAGATAATGCCTTTTGAATAAAAAAAAAACAAGTAGCTTTGTGCATGTACATTTTTGATCAGGAACGGAGCACTTGTGGATGTGTGCACTATGTTTTACAGTTGTGTCCACAATTTTCCTAGACGGTGCACAAGTGAAGGGGAAAGTGACTGGTGACTTGCTCCTCTCCGTTTGTTTGAGAGTTTTTCAAATGGTGTTTGGTGTGTATCTCAGCAGGCCTCTCACTCCAAGTCGGGGAGCCACAGTTCGGCAGCGACGCAACCGCTGGAGAACGAAGGCGGCCACTCGGGGTCTCGCCACTCACGCTCCCACTCTCATACCAACTCTCGCTCAAATTCTAAATCCAGGCGAGGAACTGTGTTATTGCACTGCTCAGCTACTTTTGTCCAAAAGTAACATGAGATTATGTATAAACAGGGGGCCAAGTGTGTTGGCACATGGCTGTAATTCAGCACTGCGCATGCGAGGATTGGAAGGTCATGTACATTTATGAAACTCGCAGAATTGCTGGGCTGCTACATTGCCACGAACTGTCCCGTGCTGACCATTGAATGTTGGTTATCCCCTTTGTGGGCTTAATGCTAAATTGCCAAAATGGAATTGGCCAATTTTCCCAATGCTGGACGCTCCAGAAAAAATGTCTCATTCAATATAACTTGGATAAGTAATGGACATATTCTTATTACATTCACTTTCTCTTACATATGGATTGTCTTTATTACATTTATCATTTCACCTTTAAATTACGCAGAGTAAATGATGTGGTTGGCAACATCTTGACGTGTTCTGTAAAGCTGCTGCAATAACAGCCGGTGGCTGTGTACTCGTAAAAACTTTTGTCATAAAAAAGTTTACTGTAAATATTGTTTTTTTTTTTAAATCCCGCTTCGGTGTCATCTTGTGGGCCGTGCAGATCACGCTCCCGGCACCGGCATTACTCTCGGTCCCGCTCGCACTCACGACGCCGTCACTCGCGCAGCCGGTCCTACACGCCCGACTACCGGCGCCACAGCCGCTCGCCGATGTCCAACCGTCGCCGCCACCTGGGCTCCCGGGTACGCCCACGTGCACTCTCACGTCTCGTCGTGTTCGTCTGCAGCTATTCCAGGCCCTCGTCCGCTCTCGTTCTTTTATTTTGAGACGCGATGTCAAAAAAACTGCAAGCGCATGTCTGAAGTGATGCAGGCTGTAGTCCATGCGTAAACAGCGTTGCGGATTGAGTAAATGTGATCTTTAACTTTGTAAATATAAGATGTGATTTTTTTTTAAAAATCCATGATATTGATTTGCAGTTATGGACAACCCTTATATTCATTGCAATGCAATCATGCACCAAAAATGAAAAACTGCTCTAAGCTATGCAAATGTGGCGTATGCCTTTTTTTGTGAGTTGCGTTGCTGCTGCTCGTTTTATGTGAGCGTTAATCTTTGCGTGTGCGTGCAGGTGAACCCAGACCCAAGTTGTTGCCTCGGTGTATTTGGGCTGAGCCTGCACACTGGGGAGAAGGACCTGAAGGAAGTGTTTTCACGCTATGGCCCAGTCCAGAGTGTAAATGTGGTGTACGACCAGCAATCGGGCCGCTCTCGTGGATTTGCCTTCGTGTACTTTGATAATTCAGAGGATGCTAAAGAGGTTGGTCTCATTTTATAAGCAACAATGTTTAAAAAAGATTTCATCTTGTTTTCTCATGCGGTAGCATCTATACATTTAATTTTTAAGTGAAAGTAGCGATGCTCCCCCCAAATTGGCTTTTTGTGAACAATTTCTCAGTGTCTTGGAAGGGTGTGTGTATGTGACATTTAAAAAATATGCTGAATTATACTGATTTTAGGCCAACTCTAAGCAACAGATTAAAATGCCTCGAGTAAATTGATTAAATGGATGTAACCGGTATAAATAATGAATTAATTCGCGGATGAATTCATTTGTAATTGAGAAACATTCAAATAGGAGACAAAATGTTTTTAACGCAAAGAGCATATATTTTTTAAATCACATGACATGTTAAGGAAGAGTATTAAGTATAGCAAGCAACAGGTGCAAAGCTGAAGATTGAAAAAGTAATGAAATTGGGAAAAGAATGAGTAAAATCTTGAAAATGTGACCTCAAGCAGTGGGGGAGCATGGATACTGCAAAAGGAGGGCGATGATAATTGGCAATTCACAAATGGTATGTCTTGAGAAGGATGGAACCACATAACTAGTAATGGAGAATCTTAACATAATTGGAGGCATTTTATGCACATCACTTAAAAAATCACATTTAGGCTAAGAATTTAAACGATCTGATGAATATAGAGGATGGGAAATTTTACCCTGTAATGCCTGGGCTTCATGCTATCAGTTTTTTTAAATGACTGACTTTGAGTGTGGAGCCATAGTTGTTTGTTGTTGATAGGTGTGGTGCCATGCATGGGTTGTTGGTGCGTTCCAATGTAAAGACATGTGCGGTGTTAAAGTGCGTACATTGTTTCTCCAGGCAAAGGAAAGGGCTAACGGCATGGAGTTGGATGGGCGGTACATACGAGTGGACTTCTCAATTACTAAGCGTGCCCACACACCTACCCCGGGCATCTACATGGGACGTCCTACCTTGTAAGTTTAAACTGCTGCGCTCCTGAAATGTAACAGCCACTATGTTTAAAAGTTTCATTACCGGAAGCACTCAATAATTTTAAATGTAAAAAAGTACAACATTTTTTACTTTATATTTATACACCTTGTCAAAATACCATTTAAACGTCCACAATGAAGTTGTGTGTTCAATGTGAAGGCTTGTGTCGTACATTTTGCTTCTAAAACCATGATTGGCAGCATGTTTACATTGAATTGTCCTGTGATTTCACCACATGAGTACGAGCAGTCGCCGAGATGGCCGAGACGGCCGCGACGGCAGAGACAACTTCTACGAACGTGGCTGCGACCGTGGCTATGACCGCAACTATGACCGTGGGTACGATCGGGGAGGCTATGAACGAGGCGGCGGTTACGACCGAGGAGGTTACGACCGTGGCTACGATGACGGATACAGATACGATCGTTACAGGTGCTTTACGCAAGACGAGTTGACATTTTCCACAAATCAAGCACTTGAAAAAAGCGTTGCTGGAACTTTGTAATATTAAATGCCATGAGTTGTTGTTGGTTGGTGCCTGGTATGGTTTTTTTTTCTTGATTGCTGTCGTATGTCGCAGAAGGCGTTCTCCATCGCCTTACTATCGAGGTGGCTACAGGTCCCGTTCGCGTTCGTACTCTCCACGTGAGTGGACATCGCCGCAAAGTGCGCTCACAAATGCTTTTTTTGTTGTGACAAGTTACGTATGGGGAATAATGCCTGTCGTTTTCCGGTCAGTTTTCACACCTTTGATTTTTCTCATTGCAGGTCGTTACTGAAAAGGCATTTTGGTATGAAGTGCCAGGAAAAACGGAAGAAGGAAGGAGTGTACCTGAGACTCAAAACTTTAATTTCTGTTTTAAGTACATGACTTTTACTGTTTTTCAAGTGGCATACATGTTAAGTTGTAGCTTAGGTTATTTTTTTCTAAATTGTGAACATTTGGATTGCAGGTTTAAAATAAATAACCCTGTTTCAGGAAACTAATATGTAGCTTTGCATGATTAAGCAAATTCAAATTCTCCAGTGTAATTTGGTTTTCTTGATAAGAGATTCTGTCATCCAGTTTCAGGGTATTTGTGTATTAGTCTTGTTCATTGGTAAGTGCCCCTTTATTGCTTATGTGCTGCTGGGCTATTTTCACTAATAATCTTGCAGTTTTAATAGTTTTGATTGACCTGATTAATCACCAATTTTACGCCCACACAGTATCATCAACCCATAACTATCACACTGAGATATATGAAATAAACTTTGCTCAGAAGGTCGTTGTCTGACATTTTAAAACATATCGTATTACCTGTTGATGTAAATCCCTGGGTGGTATCCTTGTTTTAAGAGATGCCTTACACTCCGGGCAGCATACAGCATTTCCCCCTGGTCATTGCCGAAGGTTGAGTACTCCAATGAAGATAAAAATTCTCACCCGTTAAGATGTGAATCTACTCTTTATATGAATTGGCATCGGACCCAACATTATTTACTTAGAAATATGGCTTTGTTTTATGAACACAATGTACATCACTTGGCAGTTTAAAAAATTGTTAAATATGCATTTTTGTATCGAGGCTTAACATTGTTTTCAATGATTTAACTCCAGTTCTGTAAAATCTGAGGCTCAAATATTAAGAGTACCATATTTTTAAGTGCATAGTATTTTCATTTAATTGAAATGTGTACCAATTAAAACAATTGTTATACAATACCTAAACAATTCTGTCAGTGCAACAATTATACACAAAATCGTGCAAAAACCGGTTTGCCATTCCACTGCAGAAAGCAATAACTGATTGTCACCAGTTCATCAGGTGTTTGAAGTATCAATATTTGTATATAAACGTGTAATACATATAAACTTACATTTGAAATACATGACTTCTTGAAACCTTTTATTGTGAACACAAGCATGCAGTAGGCAGTTAGCTATAAAATTTGATCATTTATGCACGTATATGAAACTGGCCCCTTAGGGTCTCCTGAGTGATGCTATTAAAATCTATACTCAGGCTGTACTTTTACAGTATCCTACCGTGGTACTTGGAGGGTCTTCCTCAGTTTCAAGCCACTAAGGCAGTCCAGTGCTTGGCATGATAAATCTCCCCTCCATGCTGCACCCATCGCAACCTTTTTCAAATTGCATTCACAATACCGTCTTGCCACACTTCAAAGTTTTGTTCTGCCATTAACTTTCAAGGCTTCACCAAGTGCATTTATTCAAATAACCAATGTTTCCTAAACTTCTCAAAATAGTACAACAAACATTAAACCTGAGACATCAAAATCCTGTCAAGATAGGTCTTGATAACCTCAGCACAATACGCGCGGTTTGTACATTGTCGCGTGCATCCGATTATCACGTTTGGTTATGTACGGTGCGAAAGAAGTTCAACATAGCTAACTAAAGATTTGAAGAAAAAATAAGTGCTCCATCGACAAGAGTTAATAGCCAGGCTAAACGCGGATGTACGCTGTCAATGGGTATGGAGAAGAGGATCAACAGTGGTCTGTTAAAGTTGGAGGTGATTGTATTAGTTTTCGATTTAAAGCTTTCGTGACTGCAGGGATTCATTTTCTTGGTTCTTTCGGTAAAGTCACGTAGAAGGGAAATAATAAAAATATAAATTCTCACGACGTTTCGGCCACAACACAAGTAGCCTTCCTCAGGTGAGGAGCACCTCCCACCCAGCTTAAAATACGCTGCCAAGCTTAGCAGTGTTCATTGGAGCGCTGTCTTTCCGACAGTTTTGTTTCTTCACCGGATGAAGGCTACTTGTGGCCGAAACGTAAGAATTTTGTTTTATTTTTATTATTTCCCTTTTACGTGATCGAAAGAACCAAGAATATGATTGTATTAATGGAGAACGAGAGGACAACTGTAATTCGAACACTAAATAGTGGCTTTTGAGATTCATGGAGAGATGCATTTTCACACGTGGGAAATGTGCTGGGTTGGTTGTCGCATCTGGTTGGGTTCAAGAATCCGCGATGTATGTTGAACATCTTTCGCGCTGTACGTAGCCAGCCGTGCTAAAATCGGAGGTGGGGAAGAACAACAAATTTTATACAAAAGTTATTTTAAATGAATTAGTATTCAATCCAAATGTAAAAGCGCATAACTCCAGTGGCTTTCTAATACCGGAAGGAAGAGCATTCCCGACGGCCGCAGAAGCGCATCTGAAATCGCGCGATGCCGTGAACGTCTTTGTTCGATGGCTATCCCAAAAGCTGCTACATTCTCGTGGCAGTTTCGTTGATGAGAGGAGAACCGAGAGACACGCTTACCTTAAAGACGCTCAAGACGGGTGAAATTGTTTTGGGCTGCAACACCACGGGATTCGAACGGAATAAGGATGATGACAATCCAGAGGAACAGATGACGTGTGTTTACTGCATCCACAATCCTGAAATAGAGTTGGATCAGTTGTGTTTCATATGCACCTCGGTAGTGTTTTTGGTAGACTAAATATTAACCTAACTTTAATTGTATTTAATGCGAGTTGGCGTTTACATATGAAAGGAAATCTACACGAATCGTCCAGGTAAGGCAACTTAATTGTTCCGGCAACTCCACACACTCCTAGGGAACTCTCGCCAGCCATGTCCAGTGCTCGGGTCGCTCTCTCTATACATCTCCCCGTCCCTTCTGGAACCTTCCACAATGTGCTTCCTCTTCAACATCGCTGTTCATCGATTTCTCGAACGTCGAATCGTTCCCTTGTTTTTTATCCCACCCTTTCCCTCAGCCAGTGACATAGTAACTATATTATCCCACTCTCTCAGCCAGTGACATAGTTACTATATTATCCCACTTTTTCCCTCAGCCAGTGACATAGTAACTATATTATCCCACTCTCTCAGCCAGTGACAGTTACTATATTATCCCACTCAGCCAGTGACATAGTTACTATATTACCCCACCCTTTCTCTCAGCCAGTGACATAGTAACTATATTATCCCACTCTTTCTCTCAGCCAGTGACATAGTTACTATATTATCCCACCCTTTCTCTCAGCCAGTGACATAGTAACTATATTATCCCACCCTTTCTCTCAGCCAGTGACATAGTAACTATATTATCCCACTCTTTCTCTCAGCCAGTGACATAGTTACTATATTATCCCACCCTTTCTCTCAGCCAGTGACATAGTAACTATATTATCCCACCCTTTCTCTTAGCCAGTGACATAGTAACTATATTATCCCACACTTTCTCTCAGCCAGTGACATAGTAACTATATTATCCCACTCTTTCTCTCAGCCAGTGACATAGTTACTATATTATCCCACCCTTTCTCTCAGCCAGTGACATAGTAACTATATTATCCCACTCTTTCTCTCAGCCAGCGACATATTTACTATATTATCCCACCCTTTCAGCCAGTGACATAGTAACTATATTATCCCACTCTTTCTCTCAGCCAGTGACATAGTTACTATATTATCCCACCCTTTCTCTCAGCCAGTGACATAGTAACTATATTATCCCACCCTTTCTCTCAGCAAGTGTGACATAGTTACTATATTATCCCACCCTTTCTCTCAGCCAGTGACATAGTTACTATATTATCCCACCCTTTCCCTCAGCCAGTGACATAGTTACTATATTATCCCAACCTTTCTCTCAGCCAGTGACATAGTTACTATATTATCCCACCCTTTCAGCCAGTGGCGTAGTTACTATATTATCCCACCCTTTTACTCAGCCAGTGACATAGTAACTATATTATCCCACCCTTTTTCTCAGCCAGTGACATAGTAACTATATTATCCCACCCTTTCTCTCAGCCAGTGACATAGTTACAATATCATCCCACCCTTTCTCTCAGCCAGTGACATAGTAACTATATTATCCCACCCTTTCTCTCAGTCAGTGACATAGTTACTATATCATCCCACCCTTTTTCTCAGCCAGTGGCGTAGTTACTATATTATCCCACCCTTTCTCTCAGTCAGTGACATAGTTACTATATTATCCTACCCTTTCTCTCAGCCAGTGACATAGTTACTATATTATCCCACTCTTTCTCTCAGCCAGTGACATAGTTACTATATTATCCCACCCTTTCAGCCAGTGACATAGTAACTATATTATCCCACCCTTTCTCTCAGCCAGTGACATAGTACTATATTATCCCCCTCTTTCTCTCAGCCAGTGACATAGTAACTATATTATCCCACCCTTTCTCTCAGCCAGTGACATAGTTACTATATTTTCCCACCCTTTCTCTCAGCCAGTGACATAGTAACTATATTATCCCACCCTTTCTCTCAGCCAGTGACGTAATAACTATATTATCCCACCCTTTCTCTCAGCCAGTGACATAGTAACTATATTATCCCACCCTTTCTCTCAGCCAGTGACATAGTTACTATATTATCCCACTTTTTCCCTCAGCCAGTGACATAGTAACTATATTATCCCACTCTCTCAGCCAGTGACAGTTACTATATTATCCCACTCAGCCAGTGACATAGTTACTATATTACCCCACCCTTTCTCTCAGCCAGTGACATAGTAACTATATTATCCCACTCTTTCTCTCAGCCAGTGACATAGTTACTATATTATCCCACCCTTTCTCTCAGCCAGTGACATAGTAACTATATTATCCCACCCTTTCTCTCAGCCAGTGACATAGTAACTATATTATCCCACACTTTCTCTCAGCCAGTGACATAGTAACTATATTATCCCACTCTTTCTCTCAGCCAGTGACATAGTTACTATATTATCCCACCCTTTCTCTCAGCCAGTGACATAGTAACTATATTATCCCACTCTTTCTCTCAGCCAGCGACATAGTTACTATATTATCCCACCCTTTCAGCCAGTGACATAGTAACTATATTATCCCACTCTTTCTCTCAGCCAGTGACATAGTTACTATATTATCCCACCCTTTCTCTCAGCCAGTGACAGTAACTATATTATCCCACCCTTTCTCTCAGCCAGTAACATAGTAACTATATTATCCCACCCTTTCTCTCAGTCAGTGACATAGTTACTATATTATCCCACTCTTTCTCTCAGCCGATTGACATAGTTACTATATTATCCCACCCTTTCAGCCAGTGACATAGTAACTATATTATCCCACCCTTTCTCTCAGCCAGTGACATAGTTACTATATTATCCCACTCTTTCTCTCAGCCAGTGACATAGTAACTATATTATCCCACCCTTTCTCTCAGCCAGTGACATAGTTATTATATTATCCCACTCTTTCTCTCAGCCAGTGACATAGTAACTATATTATCCCACCCTTTTTTCTCAGCCAGTGACATAGTAACTATATTATCCCACCCTTTTTCTCAGCCGATTGACATAGTTACTATATTATCCCACCCTTTCAGCCAGTGACATAGTAACTATATTATCCCACCCTTTCTCTCAGCCAGTGACATAGTTACTATATTATCCCACTCTTTCTCTCAGCCAGTGACATAGTAACTATATTATCCCACCCTTTTTCTCAGCCAGTGACATAGTAACTATATTATCCCACCCTTTCTCTCAGCCAGTGACATAGTAACTATATTATCCCACCCTTTCTCTCAGCCAGTGACATAGTAACTATATTATCCCACCCTTTCTCTCAGCCAGTGACATAGTTACTATATTATCCCACCCTTTCTCTCAGCCAGTGACATAGTTACTATATTATCCCACCCTTTCTCTCAGCCAGTGACATAGTAACTATATTATCCCACCCTTTTTTCTCAGCCAGTGACATAGTAACTATATTATCCCACCCTTTTTTCTCAGCCAGTGACATAGTAACTATATTATCCCACCCTTTTTTCTCAGCCAGTGACATAGTAACTATATTATCCCACCCTTTTTTCTCAGCCAGTGACATAGTTACTATA